TAATTAAGAGCGTAAAAACCAAAAATTTTTTAATGCAATTGTGATAATTGAACTTCTTGCAGATTTGGAGGAGAGAATGAGAATGGTGATGATAAGCAATGGGCAAGGAGAGGACCGTGGCGAAACATTTGCAGAGCGTGCTGAAGAATACTACCGGAAACGACCTCAGCTGCTAGCCCTACTCCAAGACCTCTACAATGGTTACATCACCCTGTTGGACCGGTGCCAACAGACAAAGCGCAGACTTAATCCTCGTGATCAACAAGACGAAGGATCGGAAACTGAGAGCACCCTTTCTTACCAGCCACCACCTGCTCAAGAGAACATTGTGGATGACTTGGTTGCAGAGCTTGTGATCAAGAATGTTGAAAACGAGTTTTTAGCCAACCAATTAGGCGACATGGATCAGCAACGCAATGACTGTTTGAGGAAGATAGAGTTGCTTAAAATGTTGCTGGAGCTGTTGGAGTCTGAGAGGGTGATGCTATTGAATGACAATGTGAGATTAGGGCATAAAGTGAGTGCAGTTTTGGAAGAGAAAAATGTTGTAGCATCGGAGGCTATGTTCATGAAGAGGAAGGCTGCAGAGCTTGCTAGGTGTTTGCTGAGGATGAGGGACGACTACAGAACCTGCATTCTGAGACAGAAGATCGAAGATCTTCAGGAGCAGATATTTTTCTTGGAGAAGAGGAACAAGGAGTACCATGAGCAGTTGAAGAGATCAGAAATGAAAGTAATGAAGAAGAGCAACAGCTGTTGCTTTCAAAGGAGGAGCAAAAAGACAGGGTTTAAGCTGTGGGAGAGGGTGAAGAATGCTGACCTGTTCATGTGTGGCGTTCACCATAATGGCTCTTCATGATTTCTGCTGCTTATATGCCACTACTTTGTGGATTAACTTTCTATCTCTTCTTCTTTAACAAACAAGTATATATTCTAAGATACTACATGTTTTGTCTTGGACTTGAATTAATCATTTATCAATGGTCAGGTAAGCAAATGAACCATCCTCATTACCTACAATTCAGGCTTGAATTCAATTACATATTAATAGAGCTTGAACCATTGAACCAGGCTTGTATCTTAGATTTCTGTTATCCTCCAGCCGCCACAAGCAAAAAATCATTCAATTTCAGAGTTCCAAAGTCTAATTTATATTATCATTTATGATTTCCAATATAGTTATATTAACTAATCGCAAGTATTTGACCAAAAAATTGAAGGAATAAGCATAAGATTGGCCCTTAACTAAGTTTGTTCCAATCAAGCCTCTCTACTAACTTTTATCCTAAACAAGCATTTCCCAGTTGAGCCTCTCTACTAGTCGCGTAACACAATAATTTCCTATATGTTAAACTGAATGCCAACATGGACTACACGTGATGCTTTGTGACTTTTGGGTTTGTCTTTTGTTCCACAAATCATCAAATATTCATCTATCAGAATAATGTACTCAAGATTAAGACTCCATTCAATATGGTTGTGATTTCTACTTTTTAGTTTTAATTTTTTAAAAATTTGCAATAGCTAAAAACCAACAATTAAAAAAGTAGATTTTAAAACGGAAAACTAAAACTATAAACTTATTTAATAATGTTAAAAGTACTTTTATTCTTATTTCTTCCTAATAATCATAACAAAATGTTAAATTGTAAATAAGTGTTTTTTGTTTAGAGTTACAATTTATATGTTACATATATAAAAACTAAAAATTATAACCATACTAAATAGAGTTTAAAACATTAGGAAAATCACTTTTTACTTTAAAGTGCAATGGTTGTACAATAAAAAGGCCTAAATAGCACAAAGTTACATTTAGAGAGTTATTTGGGACAATAATTAGTAAGGGAGCTTAATTTCTTAAGCTACAAGTTAATATCCAGTATTTCAAATTTAATCAAGCGTTGCTAATTGCTATTTTATTTTTTACCTAGGCTGATTTAGATACCTGCTTATATATATGATCCTCGTTAGAAGATGGGCATCATAATGAATCATGATACAATATGGTAAGGCTAGATGCATGAACTCTTCCACATTTATCATTCCAAAAAATAACATATTTCTCAGTAGTTAGTATCTGCAAATTCATTGCAAAAAATAACATATTTCTCAGTACTTAGTATCTGCAAATTCGGTTACTTACAATGGTGAAAAGTAAAAATAAGTATTATCCATGGAACAACTGCCAGAATAGCAAGCAAAGCCTGATCTTTATCCGAGAAATTTCTCAAGTATATACATTTAGAATGTCATAGTAAAAATAACATGCAACTGGGATGTGAAAAATAGGATATACATGACCACTGGCCAGGATAACATGAAATTCTAGTGAGCTGCCTACCCACTCTGAACAATTCTTAAATATCACAACATATGCAGTTGAAATACAACAGAAGAGAAAAAGCACCTCCAAACTTACAGATACTCCAGCATGATCATCGTCATATTTCAGCTCTTCCTTGCGACATCCCTTCATATGCTCCCAGCTAAAGGAGCCACCCACCTTGTTGGAGATACTGATGGCTGGACACCTTCCATTAGCTCCACCAACTGGACTGACGGCAAAAAATTTCATGTTGGCGACATCCTGGGTAATGTCAAAACTTAAATAGGTTTTATGTATAAACATTGAGCAATGATAACATGAAAGCCCTAGTTTTCAAATTTACATTCTGATAAGCTTCACATGCATAAGTTTGATTCTCCAAATTAATGAACCACTATGCTTGATTTTCCAATTCACAAATTCATGACACCATTACTATTATTTGTTGTGTTACAGTGTTCCAGTATCAAATGGACTTGCACAATGTAATGCAAGTGAATTCAACTGCATATAAAGATTGCACAAAGGATGGTTATATACGTCTGTTCACCACTGGAAATGACTCATTGATTTTATCAGAAGTTGGAAATTTTTGGTATATTTGTGGAGTGACTGATCATTGTGAGAAAGGGCAGAAGCTTGGGATCATTGTAGCTCCTTAGGAAAATGAGTATAAGGGAGCTTGTGTCACTGTTTGATTTCCTTGATAAATAAAAGAGAGTGAGGTTATGAGTGCAGGTTTTCCATGTATTGCTGAGTCCACACTGAATATTTTAAGATGAGGCAAGAAAAACATACAAACCTTATGATATTTAAAAGCTCTGCAAATAATCATCATCAGAACCTACTGAAATGAAACCCAGACCAGTTCGATACTTCAATTTAATGCCTCTCTCCAGTTTACTTTGTGACACATAACACTTAATATACCAAGGTATATGGATTCCCATCCATCAAGAACTGTTACCATTTACAAAATCTGTTTAACATTTTCCAGGGAAGGCAGAAAATGATGTAGAACAGGAAGCAAAGGTGAGGATAGAACTTAGGAACAGAGGCAAGGGTAGGTAGAGAACAGCAAAATTAGGGATTTCTAGAAGATAATTTCAATTTATAAACACTTCAACTAAATAACCCTAATACAACCTAAGCTTAAATATAAAAGCTAAAAACCCAAATTAGACTTCCTAGTTAGACTCCCAATTGAATTCTTATTGAAAGATAATAACATATTCTAATAAATATAAGCTACTACTAATATTTCCATTTAATTCCCATATATTCATAATAATAACAAAATCCTAATAAATATATTATTTCCTTCCTTATCTGCATCATCTCCCCAACTTGGTGAAAACTTGACCTTGAGTTTTGTAGTGTTGAAGCCATACAAATTTCGAGGCAACAAAATAATACAACTGCAATGCTTTTGGTAACTTAACTTCGATCTTCAAACCAAACAAGATAGACTTCAAAGTAGGATGTTTAGAATCAAATTCTTTAGAAAAAATGAAGTCAACAAGTTGAACAACTTGCAAGACAAGGAGGAATTCAAAATTTTCTTCCACAGTTTCCACTAAGCCATTTGGCTTTAATTCTAAAAGTTTCTTGAATACCATTTCATCAAGATCTTCTTTGTTTTCCACCATGTCATTTACCTCTAAATGTTGAAGCACTTCAAGTAACTCATTTAGCTTGAATTCTTGTTTAGAACCCAACAAGAGAGAAGTCGAGTAACCCATCAAATTGTTTCCTTGAACTTTTTCTGTATTGTGTTCTATCACTAAATCACTATCATCTTCCTTGGGTATGGGAATACCATAACAAAAGGTTGACTTTGGAATTTCTTTATCAATAACATAATTTTCTGCTACACCCTTTGTCAAATAAGGTTTAAGCTTAGTAGCACAGTTTGCAAACACTTTTTTTGACAATTTTTGAGCAACAAGCAGAGCAACCATATCATCTTTTTTCACACAAGAAAGCAATAGAGATAGTAGTTCCACAGGAATATCTGCACTTTCTTGTAAAACAAAAGTCATAATACTTTCCATATAGTTGAAGACAACCTGTGGGTGGTAATCCCAGATTAATAATAGAAAATATTGGAACATTTCAACACTTAGTGCATCACACTCAAGATCCAACATCAACACACAAGATTGAACCCTTGCCATAATGCTTAGAATTATTTTTCTATTATAATATGAGTTGTCAAAATTGTCAAACAAATGCTCAAATGATGAAACAATTAATTTAAATACCTCCTTCATTTTGTCATCATCACATGGAGCATCTAGAGCAGTAATTCTCATCATCTCACTAATGCAAGTTGCAACAGCAACTCTAACATGGGCATCTAAACGATGAAGAAGGTGTTTTGAAACCAAAGCCTGTTTTGATGGATATAGTGCCTTTTGTAAGTATGGACATGGCTTTTGTTCCACTTTTGAAAGGAAATTCCTTAATTGTACCAAGATAGAAAGAAGATCATCAATTGAACGAGGGTTCTTGAGGGAATACCCCCACTACCTTCAACCATTCTATTGGCAACAACGCTTTAAAAGAAGAGACCATGATTTCACTCCATTAAACTAGAAAATCAATTTCAAGCAACTGACCTATCAAAAAAAACTGGTAGTTCCAAGCAGAGTTTGGCAAAACAGACCTCAAAAATTGATTCAGCAACCTCAAAATTGGGTGGTACGGTCGGTTGACATGTGATGATGTTGCACTGAACTGATGGGGATTGGCTGAGAGGTGGTACTGACTTGTGCTAATATGGCATCTTTGTTGGAAGACACTGATCTGGAGCAAATCCAAACAGAATGGGTCAGGAGTGATGGCTTCCTTTTGGTTTTCTAAACTATAACTTCTTTTCTCTTTTGAATCATGAAACGGAAGTGATGCTTTTTTTTTTTCTTTTTTTGGCTGTTGGTTTGGATTTGAAAGGTGATATCTTGGATATAAAGGCTCTGATACCAATTGACATAGAACAAGAAGCAAAGGTGAGGATAGAACTTAGAAATAGAGGCAAGGGTGGGAAGAGAATAGCAGAATTAGGGATTGTTAGAAGATAATTTCAATTTATTAACACTTCAACTAAATAACCCTAATACAACCCATGCTTAAATATAAAAGCTAAAAACCCAAATTTGACTTACTTCCTAATTAGATTCCCAATTGAATCTTTATTGAAAGATAATAACAGATCCTAATAAATATAAGCTACTAGTAATATTTCCATTGAATTCCTACATATTCATAATCATAACAAAATCCTAATAAATATATTATTTCCCTCCTTATCTGCATCAGAAAATGGTAGAAACTAGTACCACAGGCTTGTTAAAAGTCAGAAAGGTAGCAGATGAAATTTTCCACAGGCTTGTTAATGGAAAAATTCTGTTGGCTCCAGAGAAAATAGCAGATAAGGCTATGAGCTGCTTGACTTGCATAAACTTGTATTTTTTGGCAAACCATGTAAACTGCAAGTCCATGCAAAATGCAACATTCATTTATATGATTTAAATTTACTACTTTATGATTATCTTAAGGATAGGATTATTAAATCTTAATCAGGTACAAATTTTGACAATTTAATTGATAGCATAGAATATCAAACTTTTCTCATCTATCTCTAGACTACAGAATGTCAAGAGTCTAAGAATGGACTGAATTAGAGGAAGGAAAGACAAACAGTAAATCTGGAAGCAAGAGAGAAATGGGTTGTGGAGAGTGAAAGGTAAACAAAGATACAAAAATTGAGAACAGAGATGAATGGCGCAATTTTGGACAGAAAGATAAAAGAGAATAGAAAGTCTGATAAAAAGTGGAAGAAAGACAGACATAAACCCAGACAAAATACTGCAGCCTTACAATAACAAATTCAGTAGTCTTATTTTGCAAGAAAAATAAACACAATTAGCATATAAAAATAATTAAAATGAAAATTCAGACTTATTTTGATCTTTGTAGAAACTTGATTGCATTTATCTCTATTCTCTAAAACAAGATTTGCCCGTTAATAGAATTCAATAGCATGAATGATACATCCAAACTCCAAAGTAAAATTAAACTTTATTTTAATAATTAAAAGATAGGTGGTTCAACCCTCAAACCAACCCCCCATTCAAGCATGATCTATCACTTTTGGGTCGCCATACTTAGTTTGTTTCTAACAACATTCTTGCAGACTCATGTAAAATGTAACATTTATTAGCCTTTGCTTGAGCTTCTAGGATAGAGATGCACTTGCAGGAAGCAGGTAAGCAGCAAAAAGACATTGTTTAAGGGGAGGGGAAACCAAACCTGGAAGCAGCTGAAACATCATATCTTTATCCTGACATCTTCAGAAAATATTTAATATGTTTGAAAGTTGTCATATTTCTTAAGGAATATTAGCAGATGTGAGCTTTTCTTGAAGCTTCGCTATCCGAGCCTGCACCCAAAGGCCAAAGCATAAGAAATGTCATGTTTAAATATAAGGGAGGAGAAAAAACAATTCAAGTTTTAGCAATGACATAAATGAGAAAAATGTAGCAGAAGAAGACCACAGTCAGCTTGAACCAGCTTTTGATCTCTTTTCTGCTTGCCTCTTTAATGACAGAAAACTCTTAGCAGGTAGAGTTATTACGTAAATGGCATACCCCAAACAGCAATTGCGTGAAGGCCATAATTCAGAATCAAGTACTTGTAAAGGGGGATTGCAAATTTTTCATTTTAATTTACACTGCAGGGACTCCAAGGTTGACTAAGTTGTAGCACTTAAAAACTGAGGAAAAAATGTTCAACCAAATCCACCTCATTGGTTTAGTTTAGTTCAGATTTTTCATGAATATTCAGTTCAGTCTCAGTGTTTTTTTTTTTTTTTTTTTGGCCATAGTGCAGATCAGTTTAGATTCCTGAAACTAATCAATGCATAAGTCAAACAAAATAGTATTTAAATTTATATAATCTGTTATAAATATTAATATATGCTGAAATAATTGCATACTGTCAAATACACATTTTTAGATAATAACATAAATATATAAAATTAAGTATTTCATTTTTTTTTTTTTAATATTTTACAAGAAAATCCACTGATTTAACCTATTGAATAATAAATATATTAAAATCAGTGTATAGCTATCACCACAGTTAGGAACTGAATGATACCTTGAATGATTTGGAACGACGTAAGGAAGGCTCTATTTGTAAACATGTTGAATATGACTTCTCAGCTGCATCAAATTGATCCATAGCCAAGAAGGCATCACCTTGACAGATATAAGCCTAACAAACAAAAATTTGTGAATACATCTCTAAGAAATATAAAAAGCAATTATATAATTAATGATTAATAACAGTCTGTTTCTCCCTTTCTGTACATCCTTGCCCCTTCTGTCCTTTCTGGTGATAGATACCTCCATGCCTTCATTCTCAAGGACTAAGGATGAAGCATTGGCAGGAAGAACAGAAATAGAATGTCCATAAACAGTATTATAACCTTGAAAACCAGTGTAGTAAGGCATAAGGCAAGTTTTCAGCACATTGAATTCTTGGAACAACTGAATGATTTTTCAAATCTCAACTTAAACAGAACTTGTCACTTGAGCGCCATACAGGACCACCAGTAGATTGGCACAGAAATTTAGCCCTCAAACTAATTCAGAATCTGTGGTTGCCTATTAGATTCAAAACATGTGGCTCACCTCAGCAAACTTGGGAGCTAATTTCAAAGATTCTGTTGCATCTTCAAGGGCGCCAAAATGGTTTCCCATTCCCAATCTGGCAATAGACCTGAATGCAAGAGAATCCTATGAAAATTTTATCATAATAGCACTCAGTTAAATGCAGAGCAAGACATGGTAAATTGTACTGCAAATATTCCTAGAAATGATTGATAACGTCATTGAGATCATCTATACAGACTGTTGATAGAACGCAAAGATGCAGACTTTATAGTTTCTGCCAGAGACATACACATTGCATTATATGCTAGCATTATATCCTAGAAAACATATATTTGGAGAAACAAGTGCACATGGTATGGAAGTAAAACATATTAGAATTAACTGCAAAAGAAAAACATGAGCTTTAGAATGATTTCTCCAGAAGCAAAATATACTTTTTCTACATGGTAAGATTCAGTCTCACAAACCTGCTTTTATACATGACATGGATACCACCAAATGGTTTTAAATCTAGGGCCTGCCCCAAAAAGGAAACAAGAAATTATCAACACCCCCGTTTTAGCTTTTGAATCCTGAAAGAGACTAAAAGGAGAGAGAGTTTAACCTGGGAGAGCAAGAGTTCAGCCTCTGAGAAATTACCCTTGTCAATTTCAGCCTCGGCTCTTTTCCTCAAAGCAAGCGCTTCCAGAGAAGGACGAGAATGAGCATCCACATCATCAGCTTCATCTCCACAACACAATCTAAGCAGAATTTCAGCAGCTCGAGCAGCAGTGGCGCAGTGCGCCACGACGAGACCATCGGGGAGCAGGGCCAAGTTTGGACCGGAACCGCAACGACCCAGACAACCGCAGGGCTTGACGGAGACATCTGGTGGGGCCAAGCTGGAGATTGTGTCTAAGATTTGCATGGAGCCTTGTCTGCGGCAGGTGCGATTGGTGCAGACCCTAATTTCCTGGACTTGGACGGCAGCTCTGATTGGGATGGTGTGGCGTGGTGGGACGCGAATTGGGGGTGTAAGGGAAGTTGAAGTGCAGTAGAAGAAAGTGGAGACGCCCAGCATTTGTTGCTGAGAAGTGAAGCTGAGAAGTGAAGATGGAAGTGTGCTGAGTGAAGTGAAAACAGAGAGCCAACTCTGCTCTGAAGGTATATATATATATATATGTATATATTTTTTTTTTTGGTAAAAGGAGAATATATATTAATTGGAAATAGTTCAACACATACGGGGAAATTCAATTCCCATAATATCAGCAATACAATACTGTTTGACAGATAGCGGAATGCTTTCAAAAATGACAAAATCATGATCGATGCTATGTCCGAGTTTCGCCATCTGATCAGCAGCCATATTAGATTCACGGACGATGTGTTTGAGTTCAGCAAGGGGGATTTGTCGAAGCAACTCCCTGCAGTCAAAAGTTAAGGCACTCAGATTATGAGATGAAGGTGGGGGCTCTTGAAGGAGCTGAATAGCCACAAGAGAATCAGATTCCACAATAATATGAAAAAAGTTATGCGTAATGGCCAATTGTAATCCATCTCTAATAGCCCAAAGTTCTGCTACAAGGCTGTTGGACCAGCCAATTTTCCTAGCATATCCAAGCTTCCAGTTGCCATGGTGATCACGAAAGATGCCCCCAGCAGCTGAAATGCCTGGATTCCCTTTGACTGACCCATCCGTGTTCAGTTTGATGACATTTGGGGGAGGTTTCGCCCATTTAAAGTTCTCCTCATGGTATATACGGGTAGCTTTTGGAATAGCAGAGGCCCAAAATTCCGCAGCTCTTTTAATAATACTACTTCGGAGGTTATTGAGCTGGAACGGTTGGGGGGAATGAACAGTTTGATTACGTTGGAGCCAGACTCCCCAAATGGCAAAGCAGAACAGAGTGTTCCAAGGGATGTTCAACACATTCGACTTGAGCTTGCAGTGGGAATTAAATTTAAGCCAAGAAAAGAAGTCCAGGTCTTGCTGCTGTTGCGATGAGATATCAGCAAATAAATCCTGAAGGATAACGGTTGAGGAAGGGCATAGTCGGATAAGATGCTCCACTGTTTCCTCTTCATCCTGGCAGCGAGGACACATAGCAGTAGATGAAATACTTAAATGATGTAAGAAACTGAAACATTTCAGTCTCTGGTGAGCCAATAGCCAAAAGCAATGTTGAATTTTTGGGATGGTTGGCAGCTTCCAAATCCAGTCCCACTCTTTTTCAGCAAAAGTAGAAGGATTTTTAAGAAGGTAGTAAGCAGAAGCAACGGTGAAGGTACCTCTGGAAGTTCCCTTCCAAGCAAAAGAGTCCTCTCTATCAGTAAAGATAGAGAGGGGGATAGCTTTGAGTCTGTTGGAGATATCATCAGAGATATCATCAGGGAGATAGTAAGAGATAAGCTCAAAGACATGATCACCTACAGTGAAAAAATCTAAAACAGTGATAGATTTGAAATCCGAAGAGTGAGGGCTATACAACATAGAAACAAGAGGTATCTCTGTCGCCCAGCAGTTAGTCCAGAAGAAGATATTGGTGCCTATATGAGGCACCCATTTCATACCTGAACTAAAGAGATCATAGCCCTTAATTATAGCTTTTCATATAGGAGATCCAGTAGCAGCTGGTCTAGTGTGACAATCCTGAATGTTATATTTACTTCTAAATATGCCACTCCAGACTTTATCTTTCTCCTGGTGAAGTCTCCAATTAAGTTTGCACATGGCAACAAGATTGGCCTCTTTAGCACTTTTTAGGCCAAGACCACCCAAATGCTTTGGGTTAGAAACGATGTTCCAATTAACTAGATGGATCTTCTTTTGCTCAACCTCTGAACCCCAAATAAAGTTACGAGAAATCTGATCAATTTCCTTTAGGGTAGAGGCTGGTAGCATAGAAGATTGCATATAATAATTTGGGACAGCTGCCAAGACTAACTTAGCAAGAGTAGTTCGACCTGCAAAGGAAAGAAAATTAGACTTCCAACCGAAGAGTTTAGCCCGGACTTTATCCACAATAAATTGACATTTGCTTCGAGTTAGTTTTTTGGCGGAAATAGGGACACCAAGGTATTTTCCCAAGTCCTCAGTTTGGGAATATCCGAGAATGGAGCAAAGGTTATCTCTAATGTCTTGGCCAACATTCTTAGAAAAAAACACCTTGGATTTGGGATGATTAATCTTTTGGCCAGATCTCTCACAAAAAAATTTAAGGACTTCCTTGAGGTGAAGACAATTAGCTTCTGTAGCTTTACCAATGAAAATGATGTCATCAGCAAAAAAGATGTGAGAAAGGGAAGGACCCCTTCTCCCAACTTTACTACCTTTCCATAGTCCAGCATCCATGTCTGCAGAGATTCTTATGGAAAGATACTCCATACATAGGATAAAGATGTAAGGTGAGAGCGGGTCTCCTTGATGAATACCCCGAGAAGGACAAAACTCTTCTGTTTTGTCTCCATTAATGAGAATGGAGATTGATGTAGAACTAATAGCAGACATGATAAGCTTAATAACATCGGGAGGGAACCGAAAGTATAGGAGAGTCTCATGAATAAAACCCCATTCCAGCCTATCATATGCCTTCTCAAGATCAAGCTTACAAATCATGTCTACTGTTTGCCCAGATTTTTTTGAGAAGGAGTGAACAAGTTCTTGAAGGATCAAGACATTATCTGTACCTTGCTTGCCAGGAATAAAACTAGATTGGCATGGAGAGATAATCCTGTCCATCCAAGGTTTAATCCTGTGTACAAGGATCTTGGATATGATTTTGTAAACAGAATTGCACAAGCTTATAGGCCTGAATTGATGAATATGCTCAGAAGATTTAAGTTTAGGAATAAGGACTAGAAGGCACTCATTCCATTTAGGAGGGATGCACCCATTCAGAAAAATATTCTTGATTTCAGAGCTGATTTTTTCCCCAATAAAGGGCCACATGTGTTTATAAAAGAAGGGGTGGGTGCCATCTGGTCCCAGGGCCTTAAAGGATTTCAGAGAGTTAATAACATCCCAAATTTCCTTATTGGATGGGCAACCCTTGATGGAATCCAGGCTATAGGAAGACTGAAATTGGCGATGAATTGACTGATATGAGTCAGAGAATGAATAGGTATGAGATGTAGTGAATAGCTCAAAGAAGTACTCAATAGCAATGGATGCTAGTCCATTGCCATCAGAGATCCAATTACCCTGACTATTAAATAGGCCAAAGATCTTGTTTCGAGATCGATGTTTCAGGGTAGTGACATGAAAGAACCTAGTGTTTCTGTCACCATCAGCAATCCAATCCGCTCGAGACTTCATGAACCAAAGATCTGTCTCCCAATTAAGAATATTATTATATTCTTAGAGGAGATCCCTTTCTAGATTCCAAAGGAAGGATGAAAAATTATAAGCATGAGACTTTTGAATCCCTTCAATATGAGCAAGCAGTTTTTTCTTCTTTTTAAAGATATTTCCAAAAGTTGCCAAACTCCATGTTTTGGCACGATTCATAGTAAGTTCAACACATTTAGCAGTATTGGAGTTAGTATCACCCCAAACTTGTTGGATGATGTTATGAAACTCAGGATGATCGATCCAAAATTTCTCAAGCCGAAATGGATGAGAACCAGATCGAGAACACAAGGGGTTGAGATCCAGTAAAATTGGGCAATGGTCAGAGTGAGTACGGGGTAAGTGAAATAAAGCAGCTTCAGGAAAGCTAAGTTTCCAATCAGGATTAGCCTAAGCTCTATCAAGCCTTTCTCTGATCAGCTGGCTAGAGAAACGCATGTTAACCCACGTATAACGGTTTCCAATAAATCCCAAATCAATCATATTGCAATTGTTCATGCAATCAAGATAGGCCTGGGCATGAGTTTAGGATATAACATTCCCACCAAACTTTTCACTTTGATCAACTATGTCATTAAAATCCCCAATAATCATCTAAGGGCCTTGGATGATATTATCCATGGCAGATAACTCTTGCCATAGCATGTTTCTGATTTCAAATTGAGGCCTACCATAAATGCCAGAGAAAAACCAATTAAACGGAAATAAAGGGTTGTTATTAACCTGGATAACTGCATGTATTGCTTGGTTGCTGGTTGACAAAATATCCACCAAAATCCTAGAGTCGTCCCATAACAGCCATAAGCCTCCAGCAAGACCATCTGAGTTGACAATGCAAGATTTAGGGAAGCCAAGAGAATTCGCTACATCCTGAGCATTAGAACCAGAAATTTTTGTTTCCAAGATAAGGAGCATGGTTGGATTGTGAATCCTTTTAAGATCCATGACACATTTACGAAATCCAACTTTAAGTGCCCCACGGCAATTCCAAGAGATAACCTTCATTGACCAATCAAGAGTGGTTGATAGCCCCAACGCTATCTGGGCTCTCAGCGGGTTGGACACTGGCAATAGGGATTGGAATGTCCACCAGAGGTACTTGGCTAGGGAAAAATGGTATGGTAAGAAAAGAAGTTGGAAGTCTCTCTCGGTGTGGGTCTCCAGTGACCATAGGACTTTCAGTATCAGGTGGATGCGTTCCATTTTCCCCTCTATTTGGACAAACTTCAAGTGGTTTAGATAAGCCGAACTTGTCAATAGCAGGGGCTTGATAAGGCTCAACTCCACGTCGTGTATAGTGGCGTCTTCTGTCGATTCGAGATTCCCAATCTGACATGACTCTTTTAAATCTAAATTTTCCTCGGCTGAGGGGGATCAAGTGAGCCATCTCTGGGAGGTTCATCTCCATGTCCGTGAGAATGGGGGCTCTCCACGCTGTGAACAATTGATTCAGCGACCATTTGGATCCCTTGGGGGATGAGCAATCCAGTATCCACTCCACAGCTGTCTCCATCCGAACGGTCAATCGTTCCTTTACCAGAAACATTTGGGTTTTCAGATCTAGATGCAGAATTTGAGACAGATCCATGGTTAAGCAAAGGTTGGGTAGAGTTTTGCGAGAGTGGGGTTTGGGGATTAATTCCAAAGGTGCTGGTGGAGGTAGAGTGAACAGGGGTAATAGGATTAGGCTGAACCGAAATAAGAGAGCTAATAGTGGGGTCTTGATGAGGGATAGAAAGCTTTTGAGTTACAGAACCAGGATTAGGTTCGGAGGCAATACTCTGATGAGTGGGTAAGGCTTGGGTAGGAGAGTTCTTTGACTTGGATTTGGGCTCTTGTATGGTGATGCTCTTGGGTGGGCCTTGTGCCTTATTAGAGGTTTTGTTGACCCATTGTTGGGTTTTGGGTTCTGGTTTGGAAAAATCCACTAGTGGGGCTTTGGCTTTTTGGACCGTTAAGCTTTGCTTTGAAGATAGATCAGCATTTAAAGCACTGAGAACATTACCGTTCTATTGATTTGAAAGGGAGTTGTTGGTGACTCGTTGGGTTTTAGATCTGGTATACCAAGTTGAACCACCTGAGTCACGACCAACCTTTGCTTTGGGATTTGACGGTATCTTCTCCACCGTCAACGAGTTTGGAAGAGGTCTCCTTTTGGATCTGCGCCTCTCCACCAGCAGCCAGGGGCCATAATTATCCTTATCAAAGGATTTGCTAATATCAAATGTCTGCGAAATGGAGTTTGGGGTGGAAGGGGGGGTCACGGCCTTAACACTGGGGGGTGTAGAGCTTGAGGCATGGGTTGACAAAGGCACAGGATTGGCAGCTTCTTTAATCATCTCTGAGGTAGCATTGAGTTATGAGCATTGATTATTTCTATGGCCTATGCGTCCACAATGAAAACACAAAGCACTAACACCTTCGTAAATGACCTTCTGTTTTTTCTTTCCAATTCTAACATATTTGGCAGCAGGTTGTGCGAGATCAATTTGGACACACACCCTTGCATACTGGCCCCTAGTGTGATGTGCAGTATGAGCATCAACCCTGAGCAGAGGGCCTACCTTATTCCCAATCTTCTGGAGTGTAGTAGGATCGTAGTAGTCAGCCCAAACAGCTGTGGTGGTAGTAGTGCGAATAGCCTCTTCCGGATCAAAGTTAGGTTCCCACCTCCTCATGGTAAGATAGTAAGGGCCAATGAACCACGGACCCCCCATGATAACTCTGCTCAGATCCTCATTGTCCTGAAATCGAACAAGAAAAAAGTCAAAACTGAGATCAATGAAATCCCACTTACCATTCGGTTTCCATTGAGCTTGGACTCTAGGAAAAATATAATTATAGCCCAAAGGTTTAGGATGGAAAGCTTTGATAATGATAGCATTCATCCATGGTTCTCGGATTCTTCGTTTTTTTGCTCTTGATAATAAGACGATCGGAGCGTCATCCTCTGGATCATCATCAACATCTGATTCTTCCTCCATATAACTAGGTATGGTATTAAAGGAGAGTATGGCTGGGTTCTCTTCCCCCATGAGTTTATCCTTGTAGGATAAGGGGTTTTGTGATTGATGAACCGGTGATGTTGCTGGTATTTGTGATTCTGACATTGGAGTGTCTTGGTGTTCCTCATCTACACTCTGGATGGTCATCGCCACATCCTCAGTAGACGAATTTGATGGCTCACCATTCAGAGGAGTGTCTCCCCTTCGTGAGCCCTTTGTAGAAGCATTTGTTTCAAATTCTTTGATCTTCTTAATACTCCGATCAAGCAGATCGGTTTCTTGAACAGAGGGAAAGTTTTCAAACAGAGAGAGCTTTTGTCAGACACTCATTTTTTTCTCTGCTCTGAAGGTATATACTCATGCAAAAACTTTCTTGAACGCTTTATTTTAATACTCTTATTTTCACATTTTTAACTTTTTATCTTTATAAATTAAAAAAAAAATTACTCCTCATTCTAAGAATCGAAGAAAATAACTGTTAATTAATGTCAGATTATATCATTCATAAGTTAATTATTAACATTTTATTATCTTTATTTTTATTCTTATTAATAATTTATCAACTAATTGTTAATAAAATGTTAATAGTTAATTAATAAATATTATAATTTTAAATTAAATAAAAATTATTTCTTTTAATATATAAGTGAAACGTTAAAAATATTATAATATAAATTTAAATATTAAAATCTATAAATTTATTAAAATAAATAGTTAAAATAGTTTTTACTTATCCTAATATATACGTTTATTTCGTTAGAATATGCTCAACAACACGAGAGTCCAGCACAGCTGGAGCTGGGGGTCTTCTTCGAGATCACTTGGGCAGATAGGGATGGCAATTTGCCCCGATCCCCGCGGGGCCCTATGGGGATCCCCGCCCCCAGGCGGGGAGGAATATTCCTCCCCGCGGGGCGGGGACAGGGAGTATTTTCTCCCCGTGAAAATTCGTGGGGAATTTTCCCCGCCCCACAGGGCCCCGTGGAGATCCCTATCCCCGCGAAAAATTAAAAAATATGTAAATTAGTCTTATTTTAAATTTAATTCAACATTCAAACCTAAATCCAATTCAATAAAATTTAAATTTAATTCAATTTTATCCAACCTATTATTAACCTTTTAGTTATTTACGTTAGATTGATATTTATTTTTGTTTGGATAATTTATATTTAAAGAATTTTAATTAATTATAATTAAATTTTTAAAATTTTATTTATTATAATTGAAT